ATGGAGTCTACTCCTCGGCGGCACACCCCCCCCCCCCCCCCCCCCCACAACTTAGAAAAGAGTTTGGCATTTAAGTACAAACTTCTAATACCATTTAAAAATATGACTGAAATAACTGAGTGAGTGAATCCATTCAGATTGATGTTACTTTGTTGGAGCTTGGTGCTGTTTTGGTGAAAAACATAATTCAGTAAGCAAAAGAAAACTAGTTTAATTTAACTCTCTTGGGCTCAGTTAGTATGTTCCATACTGCTTCAGAAACAAAGCACTAGTGTTTGGACTCTCTTTTTTCTTTCTAATTTTCTGACATTACACATTTGTATTTCAGATGTTTGAAATTTGTGACTAGATCATTGCTGTGAACTTGGGTGCCTTCTGAGTAATTAATGTGCTAGTACAGACATATAAAGCCAGAGAATAAATGTGAATAAGGCAGAAATCAGCTGATCAATGTGGGAAGCCAGAAGTCATTGGTAACGTAATTTTGACATTAAAGTAAGAAGTTTACTTAAATTAATTTCTTCTCATGTTAAATCTTTAACTCTAGCTTTTTTAGTAAATCATCTTTAAAGCCATTTAACAAGTCTCTACAGATGAAGTGAGCCAAGTGGGTGAATGTAACTTGTATTTATGAAGATGAGATCCAGATGGCAAAACACAGAAATGCAAACCTAGCGGACAACGTTAGAATGAAATTTGTTAAGACATAGATGGAGGAAAGCAATAGGAGTTTACTTCCCAGTTGACACACATTCTAGGACAGCTGAGAAGGTTTAGGAGATCTTAGAAGAAAAACCTATTTCGTGAGTTTTCTGACTTGAGTCAACCTTCATTGGTGACGCAGCTGGTTAAAGGTGCCCTAGAGAAAGGAAGTAACACAATTACCAATTCATGTAGTTTCCTACTTTTGTTTGTTTGTTTTCCAAACATCCTATCATTGTGGGAACCTGATATCACTGCTCAGAAGAAACAGCAGCTGGCAGCTCAATTTTCAATACCAATTGTCTGCTCAAATGTTTATACACTACAATGGGACTTAACAGCCTCCTGTTCATGTCTTAGTTACCAACTGATCAGTAGCACTCACCCAGCATGTGGGAGACAAGTGCTTTTCCTGTACAGAGCCTTGAGTGAGAATATTTGTCTTTACAAATGAGAGCCAGAAGGAAAAGGCAGCGGTTTCCAGATCCCCATTCTGTACTTCAGTGCCTAGTGTTAGCTAAAGACATGAGACACCTGGATTTAATTCCTCTGCCCATCTGAGCATGTTCACCTGTGTGCCAGGCCTTAAAATGTTACCTACATGGTCAATTTATCTAATGTCTTTAGTATAGCCTGTATCATCACTCACTATAACAGAGAAAGTATTCCAGATTTTCCTTTCTTAGGTGAGTACCTGCAAAAGAGTTATGCTTGTTCTCCATGTCTCTCTTAAGGCATGTTTAACTGTTGCAGTTGAAGTAGAGAAGACAGAGCATTCTGCATCAGTCTGCTGATCACTGGTTTGAGTCATTCCCTGTGAGTGTGGGATACCCACCTGCACCATCTCAGGCAGAGGGGGGAAATGAGCTTCTTCCCTGTGTCTTGGGTGATCACTGTCTTTACTGAACAGTTAGATGTAAAAAAAGAATTCAGAAGAGCCAGTGGCATGGATCTAGTAAGGGCCCTTATTCCCCAGGG